AGGGAAAGAAGGAGGAAGACGTTCACCATCGGGTCGGGAAGGAAAGCGCCGGATGAACGGCATAAAGAAAAATCCCAGGGGGCCAGCGGTGTCCTCCAGAACACGTTACAGAGGAAAACCTCAGGGAAAACCTCCCAAGATCCAAATAATAACGAAACTCATTAGAAATACTAACGTACTAAACATTTTTACAGCATGACAAAGTCACAAGGCCAAGGTGGAAATATCGCCCCTTTCAATTAAGTTTGCCCCGAATTATTTCCAACACAGTTTAATTACAGCATTCTAATGACGCTGCCCAAAAGTGCATTGGATAATTGACACTTTTGATGATGAAAAGTTCTCAATGAAAGAGGAGCCGGAACCATCGCCGCTTTGATACAGGACTCGCTCCTTTCTCACACACGAGCACCAGTGAGAAAGCCTGGTCTAAACCCAGCCAAAGGGTGTTTAAAGGGAAAAGAAGAATTCCTGCCATCTCTGCGGGCGCTGCTGGATTCTTCATTCAAAGTCCAGAAGCTGCACAGGCAGAGCTTACTACGGTGGTGCAGATACCCGCCTGATCGTGTCTCCTTGGAGGGCCACGGGAGCTTTGAGTTTTGGACCATCCCTAAAAGCAACACCTCCAGGAGCTAAGGCTTTATCTCCTGCTTTTCTCAGAGCCCTCACGGCCCACAGCCAAACTGATTACACGCTCAGAACATTCACATCCAGATCTCCCACCTGGCTGGATGGGAACAGGGAGTCTGGCATATTTTAGCTACGAGCCGAGAGCCGTATGGAAGCTTCCACCACCCAAGAGGTGCCAGACAGCAGCGTGCCCACGTCTCTGGTGTGCTCTTGTGGTGTTTTTGGCCTTTTTTTGGGGTTTTGTTTGGTTTTGTTTCAGTAAAAGCATCGCAGACACACCAGGGTTAGACACACCTAGGAAACCAGGACCATGCATAGCTTCCCAGGCGGGCTCGGAGAGACACCCTCCGGCGTTCCTCCAGCTGCACTACAGACACATTTTTACAGGATCAAAGCCGGGGCTTCGAATCCAGATGTGCTCTTACCAGTTTTTGGAGGGCGAGTACGTATGGATTTCATCAAAGAACCTCTCTGGCTGGTGCAGAGGGTAAGGGCTCGGCCGCGTCCACCCACCGAAAAGCACAAGCAAGTCCTTGTAGACCACCAGCGTGGCCCCAGCCTTGGGCGAGGGGTACGAACCTGGGCAGGGACAGAGAAGGGGACGGTTAGGAAAGCACGCTTGAACACGAGCGCCCAAGTCTGCATCAGTTTTACTGAAGTGCGACAACACGGAGACTCCACCTTTGGAAAAAAAAAAAAAAACCAACAAACCCTGAGCTGAAAAGAAGGCAAAATTAGAGCTGGAAGCCTGGGAAGAAAGCTACTGCCAATTTGTGTCATCGTAATTAGTAGGAGCCTGAAAGCACATCTCGTGTATGGCAAAACATCTGTCACTCACTGGCAGGAAATTGCTAGCTTTCCAACATATCCCTTGAAATTATTGCTTTAGCACGGAATAAAAGCAATAATTACCTCCAAATACCCAGTCCCTTCTCCCCAAGGAAGGAGGGAGAACAAATACCAACTCGAACGCATCCGGAGTCGCTCGTGGCAGATCGCTCGGGTGCTCACGGGGGGCAGCGCGCACCGAACCCCCTTTTTTGCCAAGCGGCACGGTTAAACCCTAAAGGCTTTGCTGCGTGAGTTACCAGTCGCCCCTCGAGCCTGTGGAATGAAGTGCTCCTCTAAAAAATTATTAAAGCAGCTTTTTGCTTGGCTCGTCTGAGTTCAAAAGGGTCTGTAGGGGCCAGGGACCTCCCGAGCAGGGTCGGTGCGTGCACGAGCACGGCGACACGGCCTCCAGGGCTCGGTGCCGAGAACGCCGCGCGTGCCGAAGGTTTCCCCGCGGCGTAGCAAAGCGCC